TGTTGTATAAAACGTCAGCCTGCACAGGAGACAGAGAGATCACCAGCGTCTACATACATGGATGGCTTGTTTGCATGCGAGTCAGTGAGTAAGTGAGACAGACGGACACACTGATGTTTGAACACACTTGTGCATAAATTTGCGGACAGCTGAGTGTGTGTGTGTGTGTGTGTGTGTGTGTGTGTGTCAGTCTGTTTCATCTGCATGGTATGGTGCTGCAGCGTATATGATTTAGTTAGTAATTAGGGAATAGAGACGTATCCAATTATTGGGGTTGTGAAATATCACCCTGTCTCAGTAGTTATTCCAGTACCGTCTGCACCCTGCCTTATTATTACACCAGCTGCATATATGATTAGGTGTGTGTGTGTGTGTGTATAAAAAAAAAAAAAAGGGAAAGAGACAGAGGAAGAAAAAGAGAGCGAGAGAAAATACAGTACATGTGTGTGTCCGGGAAAGGCGGCGCCTACAAAGGAAACTCATTTCTGCTTATTGTAGATTATAGGTGGCAGGACCACATGCCCGCAGGAGCTGCAGCCAGAGCCATTCCTGACAGTCTCATGACACCGTGTGTGTGTGTGTGTGTGTGTGTGTGTATGTGTGTGTGTGTCATGGTACTACTGGTACTACTTTTCTTTTCCTGTCTGACTGCAAGTACATGGACACACACACACACACACACACAAACACACACACAAACGTAAGGACTACACTGTACACTCTTGCACATGGATGGATTACTGAACGAGCCTACTGGGCACAGGCCCTGGGGTCCCAACATGTCAGGGACCCCTCTGGCCCTAACCTTCAAAATGTCACTCAAATTAAGACATACGGACAAGGAGGAGACACAAAACAACCACAAAGGGATGCAAAGACACACAGAATAACTACAAATGGGGCAAAGCAACCACAAAAAGCCAAACAATGGCCCTAAAGAGACATAAAACAACTACAAAAAGGAGAAAAACAACCAAAAAGTAACAGAAAATGACTCCAAAGAGACACACAACCACAAAAAGACACAACATTACCAAAACACACTTCACTTAAAGTGACCTCAAAGATACAAAAACTATTACAAAGAGACACAAAATAACTACAACATGCAAAAAAACAATTAAGATAGACACAAAATTACCTCAAAAAGACACAAAACAACAATAAAATACACAAAATAACAAAAAAAATCACAAAATGAATACAAAGAGACACAAGATAATTACAAAAAGGGGCAAAACAACCACAAAAAGCATCAAAATGACCTCAAAGAGAGCTACAAATGGGGAAAACGACCACAAACAGACACAAAATGACCACAAAAAGAGACACAAAACCACAAAAAGGACACAAAATTAACAAAATAAACCCCAAAAAGTTACCTTGAAGAGAAACAAATGACTACAAAGAGATCAAATTAACCACAATTAGGGCAAAACAACTACAAAAAGCAACAAAATTACTTCAGACACACAAGATGACAAAAAGGGCAACAAATCTCCTAAATAAACCCCACAAAATTACCTCAGATACACTAAATAATTACAAAAAGGGGAAACACAAACAACAAAGAAACACAATTTTACTGCAAAGAGAAACAAAACAACTACAAATGAGGTAAAACCACCACAAAAAGTGACAAAATAATATCAAAGACACAACAAAACTACAAAAAGGGAAAAGAACCAAAAAGAGACTAAATATGGGTACCACAAAAAGAGAAACAAAATGACCACAGAGACACATAATTACAAAAATAAACCCCACAAAATTACCTCAAAGAGACAAAATAATTACAAGATAATTACAAAAAGGGGCAAAACAACCACAAAAAGTGGTAATTACTTCAAAGAGATAAAAATAACTACTAAAATTTTAAACAACAGACACAACATTTACACAAAAAGGGAAAAACAACAGAAAGGAGACAAAATGGCCTCAAAGTGACACAAAACAACTACAGACACAAAATAACTATAAATGAGGCAAAATAGTCACAGAAAGCAAGGAATGAATTTAAAGAGACGCAACATAACTACAAAAGCTGGAAACAACCAAATACATTCACAAAATGACTCCAAAGAGACACAAAACAACAAAAAAGACACACAATTACAAAAAAGACCTCAAAGACACACAAAACTACTACAGAGACTCAAAATAACTACAAACACAAAAGAACTACAAAGGCACACAGAATAACTCCAAAGAGACACAAAACAACCACAATGAGACACAAAACAACCACAAAGAGACACAGAATAACTACAAAGAGACACAAAACAACCACAAAGAGACAAAGAATAACTACAAAGAGACACAAAACAACTACAAAGAGACACAGAATAACTACAAAGAGACACAAAACAACCACAAAGAGACACAGAATAACTACAAAGAGACACAAAACAACTACAAAGAGACAAAGAATAACTACAAAGAGACACAAAACAACTACAAAGAGACACACAACAATGACAAAGAAACACAAAACAACTACAAAGAGACACTAAACAACTACAAAGAGACACACACCAACGACAAAGAAACACAAAACAACTACAAAGAGACAGAAAACAACTACAGAGACATACAACAACGACAAAGAGACACAAAACAACTACAAAGACACAACATAGTTACAGAGACACAAAAATAGCTACAAAGAGACACAAAACAACTACAAAGACACAACATAGTTACAGAGACACAAAAATAGCTACAAAGAGACACAAAACAATGACAAAGAAACACAAAACAACTACAAAGACACAGAATAACTACAAAGAGACACAAAACAACCACAAAGAGACACAAAACAACTACAAAGAGACAGAGAATAACTACAAAGAGACACAAAACAACCACAAAGAGACACAGAATAACTACAAAGAGACACAAAACAACTACAAAGAGACACAAAACAACTACAAAGACACACACAACAACGACAAAGAAACAGAAAACTACAAAGAAACACAAAACAACTACAAAGAGACAGAATAACTACAAAGAGACACAAAACTACTACAAAGAGACACAGAATAACTACAAAGAGACACAAAACAACCACAAAGAGACACAGAATAACTACAAAGAGACACAAAACAACTACAAAGAGACACACAACAACAACAAAGAAACAGAAAACAACTACAAAGAGACACAAAACAACTACAGAGACATACAACAACGGCAAAGAGACACAAAACAACTACAAAGACACAACATAGTTACAGAGACACAAAAATAGCTACAAAGAAACACAAAACAACTACAAAGACACAACATAGTTACAGAGACACAAAAATAGCTACAAAGAGACACAAAACAATGACAAAAAAACACAAAACAACTACAAAGACACAGAATAACTACAAAGAGACACAAAACAACTACAAAGACACAACATAGTTACAGAAACACAAAAATAGCTACAAAGAGACACAAAACAACAACAAAGAGACACAAAAACCCACAGAGACTTAAAATAACAACAGACACAAAATAACCAAATAAATAAATAATTACAGAAAAGAAAAACAATATTACAAGATACATAAAATAACTACAAAAACAGGGAAAACAACCAAATAGAGAAATAAAATGACAAGAGAGACAACAAAAAAAGACACCTCACAGACCTCAAAAGACCCCAAAGAGACACAAAACAACTACAGAGAGATACAAAATAACTACAACAAAGAAGTCTGTGCCCGGGGATCATTGTCTCATGATCCGGCCCTGCACCTGCAGCACATAAACTAAAAGGTGATCAATCAGACACACACTCCTGTTCTTACCAGGAGGTATCAATACATGAGGGACACACACACGACTACATGCACGAGTTTGTGTTTGTACTTTGTGTGTGTGTGTGTGTAGGAGAGTGTGTAAATCCACACAATCGTATCTCACCCACTGTAAAAGCCACCATCCGCTCTGCCTGTCACCAGTGGAAACAAAGAACAGGGAGCGTTCTATGTCAGCAACTGGAGTGCTGCTATCTCCAACCATCTGGGAGAGGAAAAAGAAAGATTCTCTGAGGAGCTCTCCGGAAGCTGCCAGGGAAAAAAAAAAAAAAAAAGAGAGAAGAAGAACAGATTTCCGATGAGGAGGTCGACAAGATAGAACACTCACTCCATGGAGAGGGGTTTGACATAAAACGTGAGATGGCTATCTGCTGTGGGCAGTGATGAAAGGAGAGAGGACACATTGGTGTGCTCAGCTTGATCATGTGCAACTATATTATGTATAAAACTGAATACACATTTCAGTCACATGTTCCAGTGCAAAGTAAAATATTATATTATTATAATATTATTATAATATTATGAGTGAGTATTAATCTCCCTGTAGACTCCTTTGTCTTGTTCCCACCTTGCACACAAACACACACCTGCCTCCAGCCCCTCCCTCTGTAGCCTCCACCACACACACACACACACTCACACTCACTGACAGATATGAGGGAGCGAGTGATGCAGTAGTGAAGCTGGTGAAGCATGTGGAAATAAGGACAGAGTCTGCTCTGGTATTCACGGAAGGTGGGAACACATTTGTCATGTCCTACAGCAACAGTGCGCATGCGATAAGGGCGCACTTTTGGAGCATTTTGGAGATAGCGGGAAATGTTTATAGCACATCAGAGCGCAATAAAAAAACTGGAGCCTCCTCTCATATGCCCGTCTTGAGATATGCAGGCTGTTATCACTGCTGGCTGTTGCCTTGAAAACTTGCCTGCGCGGACTCCGCTGATCATGTAGAGAATTCCACAGCTCTCTGACAACAAAAACCATGCCACGGTAACAGCCGCCTATCGCCGCCAGCCGCCCTGCGCGCACCGGATTGGCTCCCCCAAGTGACTGGCGTGCTCTTTCCCTTTTCCCATTGGCTCGCACATAATGGACCCGTGACTGCGCTCCAGTGAGACGCGCTGGAGGCGGAGCGCGCCGGCCGAGGCGGAGCTCTCCTTGGTACTTAAACGGAGCTGGTGCTGAAAGAAGTGAAGTACTAGCACGCACGCACGGACAGCCGGAGCGCCCGGTGCGCGGTGCGAAGAGTGTGAGACAAGTGTAAGAAGAAAGAGGGGAAGCAGAAGAAGAGAGGGAAGGAGAGCAGGGGACCGTGCCGCCCTCTGTACTCATGGACCATAAGGATATTTAACCATTTGCCCGGGGAGCGCACAGGTAGCGTCTTTTTCCTCCTCATGTTGCGCCGTGCGTAAAAGCACAGGATTTGCCTTTACTCACCATTTCCTCACTCTTTAGCAGCTGCAAGCTTCACACTATTCTTCCCTCCTTTTTCCTTCTGCATGGGAACTGCAGGCTCTTTTACATTCCTCTGGAATTAATGATTGACTAATGGGTGTGAAGGGAGCAAGGGGCAGTGGATCATTGATTGTCTTAGTGTACTCTGTCGGCTCGATAACACGAGAGAGCCCTTGCCCCCCTGCACAGGTGACTGCTGAGAAGTGTTGAGTGTTTTCTTAGCCTTTACTTTATTGAGCAAATGCAGGCAGGAGTTTGTGCATAACGCGCCTTGTTCTGTGATATTTTTACGCTATTGACACCACTCTGTGTGTATCACTGTCTCCATCTCCCTCTCCCCTCTCAGACACCGCAGTCCATGCCTCTGCCTTGCCAGGTCATTGATGGGAAATCAACTGGATCGGATCACCCACCTCAACTACAGCGAGCTGCCCACGGGGGATCCGTCCGGGCTGGAGAAGGACGAGCTTCGGGTCGGCGTCGCCTACTTCTTCTCTGACGAAGAGGAGGAGGTGGACGACCGCACTCCGTCCGACTGCGGCTTCACCAAGGACCACAGCCCGGCCGAGGAGGGACCCTTCTCGGTCAGCGAGGTGGAGTACTCCGCCTTCTGCTCCCAGGAATGCATCTTCTCCAAGCTGCGGGAGAACGAGGACTTGAATGTGTACTCGGCCAAAACTTTGCTGACTATGTGCAAACCGGGGGACCTGCTGGAGCTGGTGACCACGGCGCAAGCCCCCCACTGGGCCATCTACGAGCAGGACGACCAGGTGATTCATCTGCACAAGGGCGAGATCCGCAAGGACAGCCTGCTTGAGATCAGCAGCGGCCGCCACGGGAGGATAGTGAACAATCGGTACCGGTACCGACCGCTTCCTCCTGACCTAGTGATGCAGAACGCAGCGGGACACCTGGGCCTGAGCAGCGAGGAGATATGCTGGACCAACTCGGAAAGTTTCGCAGCTTGGTGCCGCTTTGGGAAACGGGAGTTCAAAGCTGGGGGAGAGGCGCACTCGGCGGAGCAGCAGTATTTCCTCAAAGTGCATCTGTCCGGCAGCGGGGTGCACACTCTGGTCTTTCGCAGCCTGGAGGACATGATCCGGGAGAGGAGGCGAGTGGACGCCAGTGGAATTCTCAAAGAGCTGTCTTTGGTTAACGGGGGCAAGGAGTGATCAGGGATTCCGTTTGATATCCTCTCCTCTACCCCCCCTCTCCTCCTCTCCTCTCCTCCTCTCTTTCCCCCCTCTCCCCCGCTGCGCACGGACGCACAGTTTTGCGCACAGGCAAACGTACTCGCACACACAAGCACACACACATGCAAAAGGACCTGTTGGTTTTGGACTGTTTGTTACGGATGGACCCCCGAGCTGCTGCTGCTGCTGCGTCTGGACCACAGGCGCTCTGTGGAAATGCCATCAAAATTGCAAGAGTGTTGAAAACTGAGAGAGAGCGCGGCCATACAAACAGACAACGCCCCTTCAGATTCAGAATTCGTGCTGAGTGGGACACACGATTTCTGCCCCCCCAAACCCCCCCCATTCCCCCCTCCTCCCCTTTGAACAGTGAAATCACCTTTACAGACCGTACATAGCGCACACGGCTCGGTTTGGTTTTCTGTTTAATTTCTCGGGATAATGGAAGTGGCCCCCTCTCGGCGTATAGGGCGCCTGCTGCGGCAGACCAGACGGTGAGAGATGGGGGGGTGAAAAAAGATGAAAGATAGGATCTGGGATGGCTCTCGAAAAGTCTCCCTTCTATTTTTTTACTGTTAGCTTTAAGAACCGGGACTGACCATAACACAGATCCACTAATTCATAGACCTCTGACAGTCCCCAGATGGCTACGCAGTTGCCTAAACAAAGCATTTGGCTTGTTCAAGCTCCCCCTCCTCTTTTCTTTTTGCCATAACAAGAGTATTGTCATTTCCACAATGCTGTCATCCTGCTCCACAGCACTGGATGTATGTGTAAATTGTATTCATATATATTGATTTGAACTTGAGTCCCTTATTTTTGTATTTAAGTTTAGTGGATTTAACCCTGATCTCTCTCTTTTTTTTTTTTTTTGGTTCAAAAATAAATGGAGGTTGAAATATGAAAAGAAGCTCTCGGGTCTGGCAGGTGTTGTTTTGGTCACACATAATTACGTACACACAAACAGCATGATCTCTCACTTTCACTCACACACACTCACACACACATGCACAAAGAGGGTTATATGAATTATTTATGCGCCAGTGCCTCCTGACCTGCCTGGAGCCAAATGGGCTTCATATATCTGCACAGTATTTGGAGGCAGCAAAATGGTCATCTGCATCAAACCCATAAAGGCTTTATGAAAAAATCCATATGGGATCTGGGAGCTACAGTACAGAGGTGATGGGAACATGCAGTGTTTGGCCACAGGCTGTTTTTTTCGTCCATGTGTGGGTTTTAACGTCCACGAGCATGTTGATCTCCAGGTTACTCCTTGTGTTTAAATACCACACATGCGGGCTTCTTACATCACATTCCACCGTGGACAAGATGTCCTCTGTATTATCACAAGGAAACACGCTGTGTTTGTTGTGGCACCTGCGTCCGTCTGCAGTGGCGTTATCTCTGGATTGATGTTTTGACTGCTTTGCTCTGAAAGTCAGACGGTGCCTTCCCGTCTCTCTCGGGGGATCTGCTGTGGTGTCGGCGAAGGTGGGATTAACCACCTCAGTTGAACTTCTCTCGTCTCCTCAGGTTTGGTTAATTAAGAGTGGATTTATGGGAAGCTTCTGCTGTGATGTGTCTTTGTTCTGCCTGTGATTGTACAGTAAATGAGCTGAGGATGTTTCCAAGCCTATCTGCTTGGATCTACACCTCTGGGTGCTTGTGGTTTTACGCTGTCGTAAATAACCGAGCTGCAGCTGGAGTGGCAGACAAAGAGTTAGCATGTGTTTGTGCAGGATACAAGCATGCAGGGTTGCACCGTGTGTGTGTTTGTCTCTGGTGGGACTTGATGTTTGTTGCGCTGACAAGCTCAATCAGACCCAGGTTGTCTCCTTGTTCTGTTTGTGGGTGTCTGAGCGTGCAGATGTTGCAGTCTCGCCCCTCAGATGCGTTTCATGTCAAAATACAGACTAATAAGCCTTCGCATCTTGTAAATGTGCGTTGAGAAGATTTTCCCCAGCTATTGACCCAAATACTTTGTTCTATCAGCTTTGCTGTTAATGTATTGACACAATTCTTCTCTTGTTAACTCCCCTTTCCTCTAATTCTCTTTGGCTCCAGTTGGCTGGTGTTTTCTCCCGTCTTTGCTCCCCCCTCACCTTTTGTTTCTCATTTTTCATTTCTTTTTACTGCCGCCACAGCAAAACCACCCCGACATCAAATCCTGTTTCACTTTTATTCTGACAGTTGGCAAGAAAAATAATTGAAATCGTGTTTGTAGATGTATTAAAATGGATGTTTCAGATTTGAAATGAGAATTAAATTTGGATTTATTTATTCCAGCTATCCAAACGGGTCATTTTTGCAAACAAATGTCTATTCTGGATAAATTTAGGCAAACATCCATTTTAATCTCCTTGCTTTTTCCTGTGTTTCACCGGCTGACGACTGTTCCTGTCTGCTCAGTGCGTTTCTAACAGGCTCCATGTTAAATTGAGGTTGCCCCAGGTGGGTGATTGTGTGTGTGTGTGAGTGCGTCAGACATCCCCCCTGTGAGTTTGAGAAATCAGGGTACTGGGGCAGCCGGTGTTAGAGTTTGTATGTGTGTTTGTGGCCTGTGACTAATAGGCCTCGGAAAAAGATTTACGTGTGTGTGTGTGTGTGTGTGTGTGCTCCAGGCAGATAATGCACACCACATTGTTAGCTTGAGGAGAGGCTTCTGCCATCTGACATGACATTGTCTGTATATGTGTGTGTGTGTGTGTGTGTGTGTGTGTGCATCACTTTCAGCTCTATATAGTGCACTATATGTGTGTGTGTATGTGAGTGAGTGGGTGAAAGTGTGACACCTAACTACCAAAGCAGGTTGTGCCAGTCTGTTCTTACTCCTAACTTGTCAGGTGCCGCCGCTTTGTCAGTGATTTTGGCATTGGATACCGGTGCACAAAGGCACCTTTCGCGGTGGTGTGATACACTCGGGGCAATGGCTATTTCTGAGACCGCCTGCAACAACTGATGAAGAGTGTCTGGCAGGTTTGTCAGTGGATGTCACCATCAGATGCTGACCATTGAGACACTCTTCATGACAGTATGATTAGCATCGGGCAGCAGCTATTTTTGACGCCACTGGCTACTACTATAACGTAAAGAGTGAGAAAGTCCATATAGGGTGGGTGGAGGTGGATGTGGATGGGTCAAACACTCTCCAGACTTTCTCCCAGGAGCCCACTGTTAAGTTATTGGAATTATTTCGGCCTGTGCTCATTCTGAAGTCGTTGAATACTGCTGCTTTGTCAGTGATTTCAGCATCAGATACTGGTGCATAGAGGCACCTTCTGTGGCTGTATGAGACGCACCAAGCAATGGCAACAACACAACATGTCAAATACTGTTGCTTTGTCAGTGGTTGTCGGCGTTAGACACCGATGCACTGAGACACTCTTCACAATGGTATGATACGCATCTGGCGGCGGCTATTTCTGAGCAAGTGAGTCCATATAGGGTTGGTGGTAGCGGATGTGGACCAGTCAAACAAACTCCAGACTTTTGTCCGTGAGCCCACTGTTCATTTCTCGTGTGAAACCAAAAATCAATGGAGTTGTTTCAGCCAGTTCTCCTTCAGAAGTCGTTGACTACCGCTGCTTTGTCAGTGATTTCAGCGACAGACATCTGACGCCTAAAGCCACCTTTGGCAGCGGTATGATATATGACTGGGCGGCGTCAGTATGACACACAGTTGGATATAACTTTTTGCAGTGTTATGATACACTTCCGGTAGGCTGGACGGCACCTTTTGCAGTGGTAGATATGCTGGTGGATGGCGGCAAGTTGAAACACTGCCAATAAGGATGTAGTCAAGGGAGCTAGAAAGTCCCTGTAGGGAGGGTGTGAGGGGTGTATGCGTCCAATAAACCCTGGGCATTCACCTGGGAGCTCAGTGTTTGCTTCCTGTATGAATGTAGAGCCAAATTATGATGTTTTTTTCTAAACCTAACCACCTGCTTTTGTTGCCTTAACTTAACCACATGCTTTTGTTGACGTCCCGGCATTGGTAGCAGGGTCCTCGGACGTCAACAGCAGATGCAGAAGGAGACCTAGTGTGTAATATGTAGACGTGAAAGGTCACTGAGAAATTGGCGTTGGGATGAGAACCTGTTGGTTATTTTGATAAAATAGTCAGGCCCGCCATCGGGGGGGGTCAAAGAGTACAGGTGACCCCGGCCCAAGGCCAATGGGGGGCCATGAAAAGGTCTTTGTTTGACCTTTAAATTGGATCAAGTACAGCAATTTCCTTACTGAGTTAAATCCCTGACAATATAGTTTATATGTTTTTACATGATAAATGAATTTATTTTTAATAACTTAGGGTGCTTTCAGACCAAGAGTTGTCTTGCTTTGGTCTGAATCAGGGACTGATTTTGTTCCAAAGTTGTATAACTGCCTAGAGTTGGTTCGTGTTCTCACAGCAGCATTTACAAGCGGACCAGATCAAATGCCTTGTGTGAGAAAGCTGCTCTTGATTGGTCAGAATTTCCATGCAATCCAGGAAGTAAAACAAACGTTGAAGAAGAGTACACTTGCAAGATAAATGTGACACTTTCTAATGTCACAATGGAGGGACAACTACGCAGGTTGATTTTAGCGCTGCTCATTGTGGACTATATTGCTGTCATTGTTCAGTTTAGTCAAACCATACAGTTTGAAAACGAGGCGCGGCTCCAACTAGAAAACAATGTTTTGATGCATTGGATGTGCTGAATGTGCATATTAAGGCAGTACAGGAGGAGGCGCACATTAATAATCCTCCAGGACTGTAACATGCTCATGTTTAACCCAAACAATGTGTCATGTGACTGCAGTTGGTTCAGATCCAGGTCGGAACACATTCTCACCACAAACGAACCGCACCAGAGTTCATTTGTAACCGGACCGAGATCTTCTTGAAGAGGTGGTCTCGGTCCAACCTTTTTGGTGCAATTGCTGTGATCACACCTGCCCAAACTAACCGCACTTTGGGGGCAAACAAACTTGAGTTTGATTAAACTGAACCAAACAAGGCAGGTGTGAAAGCATCCTAAAACACATTTCAATGTGCCATTGAATGCTCCCACCCCCTGCAGGTATTGTGAAATGGTGTGGTCCATCTGACAGCAGGTGTCAGAGGCGCGATGTGGAGAACTCATACGCGCCGCTAATGTAAAGATGTTAGGTGGACTGCTGCCTGATTAGCTAAGTCAAAGTGCCCACTTTGGGAAACGTTGTCCCTCTGCCCATGTTTCCTAACAGCTGGTCTGAGAGTAGTGTGCTTGATTGTGTAGCATGTTACACTGGTGACGTATGGTTCCTGGTTCAAACCCATAGGGGCTTGAACCCAGGGTGGGGGAGCCCTTCTGTGTAGACTTTGCATGTTCTCCCCGTGTCAACATGGGTTTCCTCCAGGTGCTCCAGCTTCCTCCCACAGTCCAAAGACATGCAGGTTAATTGGTGACTCTAAATTGTCCGTAGGTGTGAATGTGAGTGTGAATGGTTGTCTGTCTCTATGTGTCAGTCCTGTGATAGTCTGGTGACCTGTCCAGGGTGTACACCGCCTCTCGCCCAGTGTCAGCTGGGATAGGTTCCAGCACCCCGCGACCCCTCACAGGATACGGAAAATGAACATTGTATATAATAAGCGCCAACTGAGACGCCATCCAGGAATGTCCAAAACCACCCCAGGAGGTTACTATGGTGATGTTTAGGACACACCGACAAAGCAGCAGTATGTGACGAGTTGAGATGAGAACAAATTGGCTGTTACCTTTCTATCTCTATCTATCTCCCTACATATATATACGTGTACATATAGGCCACATGGTGTGTGCATGTGTATTCATGAAGGTCTGCATTTTTGTATCCCATCAGCGACACTGTGAGAGTAAATGCTGTTACTAGGGCAACTCCA